CTGGCCTTACTACTAGGAGCAAGGACGCTACTAGGGGCTCCTGGCCTTGGTACTAGGAGCAAGGACGCTACTAGGGCTCCGGCCTTACTACTAGGAGCAAGGACGCTACAGGGGCTCCTGGCACTAGGAGCTAGGAGCAAGGACGCTACTAGGGGCTCCTGGCCTTACCACTGGGAGCAAGGACGCTACTAGGGGCTCCTGGCCTTACTACTAGGAGCAAGGACGCTACTAGCTCCTGACCTTACTACTAGGAGCAAGGACGCTACTAGGGGCTCCTGGCCTTACTACTAGGAGCAAGGACGCTACTAGGGGGCTCCTGGCCTTACTACTAGGAGCAAGGACGCTACTAGGGGCAAGCTATTAGGAGAGATACTTGCAGTTGTGTTTGTTCCAAAGCGTGAGATGCAAAGAGGACATTCCCTCAGACCGTCTTGGGGGTCCGACGTTTAGGGCCCAAATGCACTTGTTCCTAGTAGCGTGGCACTTGTTTCTAATAGCTTTTTGTTACTACTAGCGTGGCACCTGTTACTACTAGCGTGGCACTTGTTACTACTAGCGTGGCACTTGTTACAACTAGCTTCTTGTTACTAGTAGTAAGGCACTTGTTACTACTAGCGTGGCACTTGTTACTACTAGCTTCTTGCTACTAGTAGTAAGGCACTTGTTACTACTAGCGATGCACTTGTTACTGCCAAATGGTCTTTGTGTTGAGATGTGCAGGACCTTGAAGGCTTAAATGCTATTTTGGGTCTGAGCTTTGTCGGAACAAAACTAGACGACGAGTGGCCCGAAAGCATTCTTCATCACGTAGGAAGTCAGAGTGCGAGTTATTTGTTAAGTGTGCAGTGTGAAGTGTTAAGTCGAGTGAGTTGAGGTAGTGTGTGGGTTTCTGTGCGTACTACAGAGTCGCCAGTTCTCATCTTCCAGCTCCCCAGCTACTCCGCGTACTAAAGTTGTACTACAAAGTCGCCAGTTCTCAGCTTCCAGCTCCACAGATTGCTCCGCGTTGTACTACAAAGTCGCCAGTTCTCATCTTCCAGCTCCCCAGCTAGTCCGCGTACTAAAGTTGTACCACAAAGTCACCAGTTCTCATCTTCCAACTCCCCAGCTACTCCGCGTACTACAGTTGTACTACAGAGTCGCCCGTTCTCATCTTCCCACTCCCCAGCTACTCCGCGCACTAACGTTGTACTACCAAGTCGCCAGTTCTCATCTTCCAGCTCCCCGGCTACTCCGCGTTCTCAGCTTCCAGCTCCACAGATTGCTCCGCGTACTAAAGTTGTACTAGAAAGGCACAATCTCCGCAGAGGGTTGCGCGGTACTTTCACAAATCGCGCTCTCGCCTGCATTTCGCGCACTCGACACGCAC